TATATATATATATATATATATATATATATATATATATATATATAATATATATGCGCATAATATAATACGCATAATATGATACGCATAATATAAATATGCGTATCATAGTATGCTCACATTTAGAGAACACGTTTTTAGATTATGTGAAATGCACTTAAGTACATGTGTGCTAACAATTTCGAGGTACTTTACGATGCTATACTTTACTTTGACTCCATTGTAAACCTATAGTGTTCTTTTTACTCCATAACGTGTATTTATTTTTCAACATTGAGAACAATGAACATAATAATAGAAAGAAGAGAAAAAATAAGTTCTGTTAAAGTAAAAAAAATCATAGAAATAATGTAGAACATTATATCTGTTTCTAAAATGATAAAGCTGCGCAGAGTTGTGCAAAAGTTTACAGTTAAAGAATATGTACAATGTAAAGACATGAGAGTCCAGAATATGTGCTTTATTTACTTTGCTGATGCAGATGCAAAACATAAATAAATTGATAAAGTATGTGATGTTATTATGGATTAGGTTACCCTGCAGCATGTAAAGTAGTTAACTATTAACTTGATATTTAGCAGCTGCAACATTACTATCTTACAGTACATTGATTAACTATAATCCAGTGAAATCATATTTATTATTCTGAAATGGCTAAATATATTTTTTAAATACTAATATATCATAAATGCAACTTCCGGAAACCAGTTTATGCTTTTATTTTGGAGCACACACCGTTGTTTCTTTTTTTGTGGCTACATCCGGGTAACTTGACTTGTACGTCTGTCTCAGGGGGGCGGGGCCAACCTGTTGAATGTGACGGATTTCCCGTAAATTATGGGGAGAGGTAGGGAGAGCGTAACGTCACAAGCTCGACGCTGATTGGACGAGAGTCGGGGCGTCGGAAATATAATAGAGCGGAGCAAACCGCGGAGCAGCCAGTTTAAAAAGAGAAGGAGAGACAAGAGAAGAAGACAAAAAGACACAGCTGATAAAAGGACCATTTCTAGACAACTTGTACTTGGACTATACTGGGACACAAAAAACAAAAACTCCTGCCTGAAGAAACTGGTTTTAAAACCGTTTTACGACATTTTTGTTTGTTTGTTTGTTGTTGTTTTTCTTTACGTTACCTAAAAGGACAACCATGCTCAACATCTGCCTCGTGTTGATTTTATCTGCCTCCGTTCTCTCCGAGTCGGTAAGTAACGTCAACCGTTTACAGTAACGTCTTTTGTTTGTACACGTTTGTTGTTGGCTTCGGGTAGTTAGATACTGTTGTTAGCCAGCTAGCTTTAACGGCTGGAGCTCATTAAGTGTGTGCGGTGGTTGTCCAGGAGGACCCGGATGTGGAGGAGAGAGGGGGGGGGTCACTTTTCCTTCCTTCTGATTGGCCAATCACTGGGACATTTTGGGGGCTGATCTTTTCCATCAATTAGACAGAAAAGGTCTAAAATGATTTGTTGTTTTATATTATCTATTCACAGAAAGTAGGTCAAGGTGTAGACTGTACATGTGGTGTTGTTGTTGTTGTTGTTGTTGTTGTTGTTGTTGTTGTTGTTGAAATTCAGAATTGAGTTATTATTTTTCCAGCATGTTGAATCATGAGATTAGGTTTTTTCATAGTCACGGAATTCATTCAGACGATTACAAATGTTAGATTTCTGACTTTTCAGAGTCTCATGCTGTAATATTTATCTTGTTCAGGATGTGATATTCTGAATTGTTTGTGTGGACTCTGACCTATGATGTGCCTGTAGTCAGACTGTGCTGTTTGTCATTGACACCTTTATTCCTCCGTCTCCATCATGAACTTTTCATGACCTGCTGTTAGAATAACAGGTGATTATGTATAAATCAGATTTATCTGAAGATAAAATAAATATAAAGAAGGTGTTCGGTCAGTATCGTTGTGTTTTGAGCCTTTTCTTCATGTGGTGTAGATAAAAACAAACAGGAAGTGGTCCTTAAATGAAGCAGATCCACGGGACACATCAGCAGCATGATGGCTGGATGCCACCCACACACAAACCCCCCCCCCCCCCCAGTTAGCCCAGTTAGTCGGTACACATGGTGTGAAGTGGTGACTAGAAGAAGAGCTGAACTTCAGGCTCCTCCTCCTTTACAACCCGTTCACATTCCTCAACGCCTCAGAGCTTCTGCTGGCTCACTCGGCCTCATCTTGTTGTCTCGCACACACACACACACACACACACTCTTCTTCTTCACTTTTTTTGATTTCCACTCTGGAATGTGACCCTTGGGGACCTTGACCGGCCCTCTTGGGGGTTTTGCACACTTGGAGGAGTCTCAATAGGACCATGGGGCCCTTTTTTCATAAGGGACACTCTCTCTTCCTCTATCCTGGTCTGGTCCGGTCTGGTCTGGATACACCTACTTTCCCACCAAGACGAGCTGTTTTATTTGTCGATGTTTCTGTTTCTTCTTTCGTCTCTTCTCTCTCTGATCAATTGTCTCTTAAGTCGGCCGCTTTTCTTTCTCCTTTCCTTTCCTTTGATGGACACTTATCCTCTGAGCTATGATAGTCCCTCCCTCCTCGCAGCCTTTTCTTCTTCTCTACCCACTGAGGTCATTATTGGTATGTGGGTTTGGCGTTCCCAGCTAATCGATAACAATGTTCTGCTACTGGACAAAAGAAGAAACAAACTCGGCACGATTGGAATGTGTTCCATCTTATCAAGTGGACGTCGAGAGACTTTTGTTTAATGTTCTAATCCTGAGAAGTTATTGCTTCATTCAGCGCTCTGCTGCCCAAGCAGAAGAAACCTTTCTGGTTTCTGTGCGATACGCTGAGCTGTGTACACAGTTTGTCCGAGATAGACCGAGCCAAACGCATCCTGTTCTTCATATTCTCCTCATTGACTTCAGTGTGTCCGGCTCATGTTTGGGAGCACGAGTCACCACGAGTCCTCCGTGACTATTGAAGGTGAACGATAGGAAAGTACAGCAACTGTTTGTGTTTGTGTCTTTAAATAAACCTCTCAAAAGTCTTTTGAGTTGTTTTCACTCCTATCATCAGCGTTGAATCTCCTCATTCTCCCAGATGTTCCTGTGACGTCTGCTCTGGTTGGTTAATCGGGTTCTAAAGCTCTGAGTTAATCCGTGTTGCCTCTGCAGTCCGTTTGTTAGATCTTGTTGGAATGTCGCTGGTTTTGCATTCAGCCTCGAATCATTTGCACGAGAATGAGACGGGCTTCTGTTGTGCACTGAAAGCCCGTGAGGTGAAAAGGAGGCAGCATGATAAATAGTGTCTCTAGGATGTAATAATGGTTCCTGCGTTGCTGACCGCTGGTCTATAAAATCCCTTTTGGGGTCAAGGAATGTTGGCTCACAGAGAGGAGAACCTGATTCCTCCTCCGCCTCCTCTCAACCACCACAGACCAAAGAGAACTACATGAATACATCGGGACAGAAGTCGACCGTAAACCCTCTTCTTCTAAATCCTGGTCCTCCAACTGGGGTTTTTGGACGCTTTTGTTGTTGAGCAAGTAGTTTTAAACATAATCTGGACCTTTTATTTTACAGCAGCACACAAGTATAAAATGCTGCAACTAACCGTTGATTTCATGATCGGTTAAATGTGATCACAATGACGCTTCATTCTTCTTCTTCTCGTATCTGAAAGAAGAAGCTAGAACATCAAATGTTTGAGATCATTTATCAATAATCTAAAAATAGTTGAAGATAACGTTTCTGTTGATGAAGTGAATGAAAAAGATCCGTTTTCGTGATCCAATGATGTAACTAACAATAATATTAATAATAAGGGTACAAGTGTTGTTTGTCAGAGTGACCACCTGAGAACATCTGTGTTTTAGGACCAAAACATTAATTGATGAATCATTTCTCTGTAACGTGACAACATTTTCGTGATGTCTTCAGGACACATTGAGAAGTTATTTACACATCAAAGACTTTAAACAGTCAGACCGGCTAAACGTTCTCATCTATATCAGTACATCATGAAGCTGCAATAATCAATAAGTCAATCTACAGTTATTATTTCAAATAAAACGGCCAAATATTCTCCTGTTACAACTTGTCAAATGTGAGGGTTTGCTGTGTTCTTCAGCTTGTGGACGGTTGGTTAAAAGAAGCAAGTTAAAGATGATCAACGTGAGAATAATGGGAATAGTTCTTTACAGATTACTCTACGATCTGTTTGGTACCTCAGAAGTCTATGAAGTTTATGTCTCCACCACCTAGAAGCATCAACATCATTCATTTGTTCTCTCGTGGGGATTTCTTCTCTCAGCTCTTCTGTGGTAAAGACTCTTTCTGCTGTTTTTCTGGAAATGTACTTCCAGCGAACACGACTAAGTGGTTTCTGTCAGACGTCTCGAATGTAATTTACAGTACACACACACACACACACACACACACACACACACACACACACACACAGAGAGCCACCAGAGTGCCTTTGGGTGGTATGTGGGTTTTCCCTCATTCCGACCTCCTTCCTGACAAATGTGTTTCAATAATACAGAACCTCTTTGATGTGGTGTGTGTGTGTGTGTGTGTGTGTGTGTGTGCGCACACAGGTAAATGTGTCTTAGTTTCAGTGTGTGTGTGTATCACCCAACCGTTGTATAGTTTGCGCTACTGTAGGATTATTGAGTTTGTATGTCGAGGGCTTTTATTGTGAAAGGTGAGAATGAAAGGAGTGGCTCTGACCCGCCGTCTTTATTCCTGCTGTAGAATCTCATTGAGCTCATTTAAACATGCGTCATACGTTTTAGTGAGGGAGGGGCATCATGGGAAATGTTTCATTTGCTTTTCCTGCCGAGAGTTAGACGATCGATGCTGTTGAGTCAAGTCTGCATGTTTAAATATAAAGCTTTGGGTTAGCTTAGCATAGAGACTTTAAACAAAGGGAAACCACTAGCCTGACTCCAGAGATAACAAAACTAGCAGTGTCAGCACATTCCCACCACGTAGGAGTTAACCGTGTTAGTGAGGAGCTGACGGAGGATCTTCGTCTTTGGATTCCCGTGATGAAGAACAGCAGCTCATCCTCACCTCACAAGATTAAATGAGCTCTGTGTTTATGAAATAATCAAAGTTCTAGTTCATACACAGTCGGTACGCAGCCATTACCTCAGCAGGTTAATCAGCACCAGAGTTCTATATTTCTATCATTGTTTTGTCTCTTCTGGTATTCATTCATGATGTGTTGAATATTAACCAACACAAGAACAGAACTCAGTCACTGTGTGAGCGTTGACCTGTACTTTAAATGAACCTGAAACCTGTTCATGCTTCATGTCCGCCATCTTTCTCAGGAGTTATGAAGTCCTTATTCATGATCTACATTGAGAGTTTCTTTCACGAGCTACAGATGTGATTCACGGGTCGATGGTCAGTGTCTCCTGTCGGCTGTGAATCAGTCTTTGTGAGTGACGTCCCACTCAGAAAGAAAGGACATCCTCCTGTATAGATGAGTCTACGGGGCATGCCTCGTATGATGCCGGCTTTTATTACACGCCGACTTGATTTGTCTTTGATGGATACTTCCTGTTTTCCTTTTTATGACTTCCTGCCATTTTTAAAGCCTGAAGCCGATCTGAGTTTGGTGATAATAACTCAGCAGCTCGATGTCTTTGATCCGAGGCAGCGATACACCGGCCCGAGGGAGCGGAAGACATGAGAGAAACTCGGCTCTTTATGCGAGAGCTCGACTCACCGCAGGCATTCAGGCTTATTCGTCCATCAGTCAGTGTGTGTGTGTGTGTGTGTGTGTGTGTGTGTGTGTGTGTGTGTGTGTGTGTGTGTGTGTGGGGGGGGGGGGGGGGGAGTGACCAATAAAGGGCGTTACGATAAGACCGGGGACGCTCCCTCATCAAAACTCAATCAGTCTTATCAGCAGAGGCTGAATCAACAATCAATCAAGTGTTATCTGAAGCGGTCAGCTGAGCAGCACATCACTCACCTCACTGAGTAATGTCTGTCCTTGTGATGAGGACGGAACAGCCCGGGGGACTCGACTCGTTCGTCACGTAGCTCAGAGATTATAGACCCGCTGTGAGTCTCACATGGAGCTGGTAGGTGGACACGCTGCTATAGATAGACCGCCGTAGGTACAGAAGGAATCTGGAGCTCGGCTGTCGGAGTAGAAGGTGTGTGTGTGTGTTGTAGTGAAGTGCAGCATGCAGCAGAGTTCATGGTGGTGATCAGAGG